CTTACTGGGTCAAAGTCTACGATAATTTTAATAGCTTTGAAGTTTCTTACCCAACTGCTTTCTAGAAATTAAGTACCAATTCCATTAGCAACTCCAGTGTGTAATAGTGTCTATTCATTTGCCTTTTCTAAACAAACTTTAACATGCATGCACACATAGGAGAACACTTGAAAAATTTATCAGCTTTGGCAACGCAGAGTATTTCTTTGTCCCCCAAGTCTGCTTTTTAAGTTTTTAAATTGTTACTGTGGCAACAAGAAATATGCTCTTTCTCTAAATATATATGTATACATGCATTATACAAATGGATTTGTAAAGCATAGTAACTAAGAATTACAGTCTCGTTAATGAAACTGACAACTGGCTGGAATTACTAAAAGATAGGCAGATACTCAAAACCTGTTGCTTTCCATTTTAGACAAATGAAAAAATGACCAGGTCTCATTTTAAAATATTGTTACATACAAAAAGAAAACCAGAGAACTTTCTGTTATACACTGATTAGGACCAGAACGAGTATAATAAAAATATTTTACTGTAATTTGGTGAGTACAGGTTAATTACATAAAAGTTAGATTTAAACGATTATCTGTCATTTCTCAATTTCTGGAACTTTGTACCAAGCTTTCAAATGATAGGAATACCAGTGAGGTCAGAGTGAAAACAATTTTAAATCAAACCTTTAGTCTACTGAATTTGATCAATTGAGAAATCTTAAAGCAAGTGTTGGCAAACTTAGGCTTATAGGCCAAATTTGGCATGTAGCCTATTTTTGGATAGCCTATGAGCAGAGAATGGTTTTTACATTTTTAAATGGATGGAAAAAATCAAAAGAGTAATAATTGTGATGTTTGAAAATTATATGAAATTTAAATGTTATTGCCCATAAATACAGTTTCATTGGCACATAGCCACACTCATTCATTTATATATCACCTATGGCTGATTTTACACAGAGTTGAGTAGCTGCAACAAACTGTAAATCCTGAAAGCTTAAAATATTTACTATCTGGCCCTTTATAGGAAAAGTTTGCCACCTCTGCTTTAAAGTAATATAGGATTTATATTTTTGTCTCTATGTGTCACTCTGTTTAATGAATATTTCCAAGATGCTCTGCTGCTCATTGAAATTAATTTTACCTTGTTACATTTTGCTTTGTTATTTAAGATGGGGTCTCATTATATTGCCTAGGCTGGTCTTGAACTCCTGGATTCAAGTAATACTCCTTCCTGCCTCAGCCTCCCAAGTAGCTAGGACTACAGATATGTGCCACCATACCCCAATAATTTTTAAATTTTTTGTAGAGATTGGGTCTTGTTATGTTGCCCAGCCTGGTCTTGAGAAGTTCTGGCCTCAAGTAATCCTCCTGCCTCAGTCTCCCAAAGTGTTAGGATTACAGGCATGAACCACTATTCCTGACCTGCAGTTTTAAATATTTACTGTTTCATCAGCTTATGAAACTTCTGTTATATTCATTTAGGATAAATGTTACATTATTTTCCATAGGTCTGTCTAGAGCCTATTTCCACTTGCTTGATGGTTTGATTACCACAATTAAGTCATTGGTAACTAGAATTCTGCAATTCTGAAAAAAATGCATAATCCATAAATTGTACATGTTTGAGGTTAAAAGCAAGTGTAAATCCTTACATAAAAGATAAAGGCAATACTATTCCAAGTAGTTTAACCAACAGTGCTCTCTATTAACCAAAAAAGGAAGTTAAACAGCCTCTACATAAATCCTACTAGTTGGTTTTATGTTGATCCTACTAGTTGATATCACTATAGCTTGTTTGTCTAAATTAAACAAAGCTTCCCTTGACTATGAACTGCACATACTGCCTATATTGTGGGGAAACATTTATACACTCACACCTCTAGTCCCTAGATTCAATGTAGCGTAATGTGACATACTTTTCTGAAGAGCAGTCCCTTGCTGGTTATTGTTCTCATCCAACCTGATCTAAAGTCTACTGAATTGGAATATTTAAGAGCCCTTTGTGATGGCATCTATGATTCTGTGCAGCTGAATATATTCAATTATTCCCTAGGAAATAGTTTTCTTCTTCCTTTGTTTGTTTAGGCAAGAAATTGTTGTGAGATATCCAGAATGTTAAGTGATTCTGCCCCAGAGTATGTGTTAGAAACTATAAGGAGCATTTTATGACTTTCAATTCTGAAAGGTTTGTCAGCTTTGGATTTCTAGAATTGGTTGTGTCCGTGTATCTTTTCATCCTACTGGGACTTAACTGTTGTTAGCAACCTCTTGTGTGGTTTTAAGATATCTTGACCTCTTTGAAACCTTTCCAGGTGTCACTGCCACTTTGTTGATCTCTGCAATGTTAGTTACATTGTTTAATGGAGTTAAGTTCCATGAACTTTGGAAATCCTCCCTGAGACTATGAATTGACTAACACCCAAGGCAGCATAAACATGCAGACACAAATGTTCCTAAAACGAAGCTTGCTGGGCGATGCAGAATATGACTTGGAGCCTGGAAAAAGGAATATTTTGCTCAATTGTGCATCTATGACAAGCTCCAGGTGCAGTTTGAAGCTGAGTGGTTAGTTTTTCTGATCCTCACGTAGACTCTCATTAGAACACAGCAGAATCTGCAACTGTGAATGTAAGGAATTCCATGAAGACCCCCTGGGCCCATTAAGGCTTCTGGCTTCAGAGGGTCCTAAAACACTTACATTAGCATATAGAAATATAGTAAGAAGACATTGTTTTTTATAAATATCATCTAGGTTTTAGTCTTAAGATTATAATGACTGCAGCTTATTTTAAAAGTTGCATCCACAAGATGCAGTTACAAATTTAAAAGAAAGAACAAAGTTTATTAGATACCTGTTTTATGTTTACAGTTTGTCATTAAAAAGCTCCTATTATTTTTGGTAACACAGTTAAGACTTTGCAAAGTTCATACTTGGACTAAGAATCCCCTATTAGTTTAGCTTTAGTTGTGGCCTACTATTCCAGTGATTTCTCAGCCCTTCTTTTCAAACTTCACAGCCTGGCTATTCTAACAGACAAATCATGCTGCCAAAACCTAGGGGAGTGAGACAAAGTCGAAGTGACACTGTATTGATAATTAAAAGATAAGGAGTTTAGTCCTAACTCTACCACTACCTAACTTAACATTTCTATTTGTCTCCTTATCTATAAAATACGCATAACAAATAATACTACACAGGGATGCTGTGAAAATAAAACTTGTAATAAATACAAAAAGGCCTTTGAAATAGTGCAAACAAGTATGAAAATGAAAGGTGTGCTGGTGACAGTGGTTGTTTATTCATTCTTTCCTGCTGACCTCCTCTCCACCCAGAAACTATATGTCTGTAACATGAACACTACTGCTCCCCACACTCCTGAGCCAGTTGTTCTCTTATGATCACCTTCCCATCCTGGCTCCAGTGTCCAGGGAATCCTGAGGATCTCTGAGGGATAAGCAAGCTATGCATCTTCAAATGACTGTGGAGAGTTAAGCTTCCTCTGCTTTGCTTTCTACCGGCTAAGGCCTGGAGCTTGCTGTGTGTGCATCAGTAAAGTGGCTACAAGTACAGTGTACAATTACATGTTACTGTAGCTTCTCAGAGGCTTCTTTCCCGTCCCTCACAATTCACTGCTGGGAATGCAATGGCAATGGAAACTTAGAAGATCTAACAGGTTATACAGCAAGTGTTAATATGAGTTCTCTCTAGGTGGTTGGAATTATAGGTGTTTTTGTTTGGTTTTGTCTGTATACCTGTATGCTCTCACTTTTGTAATCCATAGGCAAAAAATAAAAAATAGATGAATTTAAAACAAATAAAGCATCCTTTATGTTACAAGTGAGAAACAACTTAAATACTTCTAACATGGACATTTCTCAAGAGGAAAATTAGAAAACAAGGGTATGTGATTTACCCTAAAAATATGAGTGTAATACCATATCATGTGAGAAAATTTTTATGAAAAAAAGTCATGTATTTCAGTGTCCTGTCAGATTAATGTGAACAAAATAAGAAATACTGCATTATATCTACTTTTCCAAATTGTATACCAATAGTGTGGCAATCTGATGAAAAAACAAGTAAGAAATCAGCATCTAGCTACCCTCATTTGGAGCCCAAGGGTATAATGTAGTCTGATGCTGGTCTAGAGACCAGATGGGAAAACTTGTTCTCTAATCTAATGACTTTCTTTTAATCACAAGCAGGCAGTAGTTTCCTTATTATCCAGTTTAACAAATACATTATTCTTGAGAGTACTTCCTAGGATTTATTTTGCTCACTTAAGACTACATCTTTGTATTTAATTCATCTTCCTATTATCGCTACAGGGCACATATCTCTAATTATTCCCATCTAAAGGGACAGGAAAATGAAATTACACTACTTGGAAAACAGACATCCTCTGGTGTGTCTTTTCTCAGTGCTGCCTTGGATGTAGTTTTTCATTGTCATTGTATCACAGATTGTGAGCTGTCCTCAGAGGGCAAGGCCTGTGACTTACCTTTTTTTGAATTCCCAGTGCCTAGCATGTGCCTGCTACCAAGGACACACACAGAAAAAAATCTGAAGAAACAAATGAATAATAATACCCAACACATAATGCTTACATATTAATGCCTTATATGTATGAATTCACTTAGTCCTTATAACCCTTTGAAATAGGTACTACTTTTATCCCCATTATACATATGAGAAAACTGAAGAACAGAAAGTAGAGCAAAGTTATACACAGCTAGGATCCAAACCTGGCTCTCGAGTCAGCCCCTTCATCACCACACCCTGCTGCCCCCCAAGCACCCGGGCTAAACAGGAAAACACTCCATTCCAAGAGAAGCGTGTGCTCCCATCTCTAAACACTCTTGAGTTTCCGTCAGATGTAGCTACGCTGTGTGGTTCCTTCGGAGACTTAAAAAGGAAAATAACTGGACAAGCACACAAGTGCAGAAGAAATGAATCCCCAACCTTAACAATGGCTGTTTGTAAGGGTGTTTCTCAAATACCTGTGGGGATTTGTGAGAGCGCCAGCTGTACTGGTGACTGTGGAGACTCGCCAGCAGAATATTTTCATCAGTATCCACCTGGCCAAACCGCAGTGTCTCCTGTGTGTCATTACAGATCACAAAATGGCTGAAGACCAACTCCTCTACCTCAGGGCATTTGTTCTGAAAGAAAAAGGATACGAAAGCCAACATGGATCAGATTAATTGCAAGATGTTTGGCAGCTGTCTGCCCAGTGGCGATTGTTACAACACAGAAACCCTAAAAGATCTGTTGTCATTAGCTCTGGTATACAAAGTATTCTATACTGCCAGGATAAGCACACACACACACACACACAAAATACCTTTAAGAGATTTTAAATGTTTCAAGAATGTGTTTTGATTTATACTCCCTCAAAATAAATCATACACACTGAAGAGTAAAAGAACAATGAGATCCTTCAAACTTTTAACATTTCTTAAAGTGAATTAACATGCTACAAAGAGTGCTGTACTGGGTAGTGCATGTTTTTGAACAGAGTACTGGAGGCTAGAATTACCATGTTCCCGGCTTCTAAACTCAACAATCAAGACCAATTACCAAAGCCACAGTTTGTACCCTACAGAAAGTAAGAATCATTTAGGTAAAACATCCCCAGATCCCTTAAGGGGGAGGGTGGATATGTGTGTGTGTGTAAATCTGCTCAGGGAGAGATGTAAATAAAACCATAACTTTCCCTCTATTGTTAAGAGGCTGAACATACAAAACAGATCAACTCCAGAGTCACTGTAAGCCAAGTTGCAGTTTTCATGAGAAATAATGTGAGTTGAAACACTTTTCGGTATCTGTTTCAGCTAATAGTCATCAATCAGCTAAAATCCTTCATTAGTCAGCTAAAGCGCAGCAAATTAATAATATGTTCCTGTGCTGATAACTCCTTTCTCATTTAATGGTGCCTCCACTGGTTGTTGCTACATTAAAACACTGGCAAAGTAATAAAGTATTTCTGTGCTTACTCTTTTATCACTCTAGTTAGACTATGGCTTAAAAGCAATAAACACACTTTTGGTAAACTTAAAAGAATGCTAAATAAATGATTAACTTGAGAATATAAGAAAAAAATCATAAGTAGCTAATTCATTTGCAGATAATGGGAGATAACATGTTTCTCCAGTTGGCCTCTATTTCCCGTATGGATCTAAATAATGTCAAAATGCCACACTCCATCATTTGCCACTTTACTGAGAAGTAGGGGAGTAAACAGAGATACAACTCAGAAGCATTGTGATTCAAGTACAGAGGAGGCATGAGGCCAAGGAGACTACAGATGAATGTACCTGGAATCCAGCCTGGGCCATGACCAGACTTATACCCATCAGGGTACAGACTCATCTTGGGAAACAGAGTCTACTCCTAGTCATCCAAAATGCCCTTGAAGTAGGTGGGCAGGCTCCATGCTGCAGGTGGTGAAGTGGCCCTGACATACCTCATTTTTCCAGAGGTCCTTGAGGACTTCTAAGCCCTCTCGCATCATCCATTTGTTCCCATTGAACTGAACCTTGCTTCACAGTCACACTAACCACCAAAAGAGTTTCTGGCTAAGTGAGACCAAAGTACTCATAACAACAAGCATCGGTCATCTACCATAATACTCTCTACTCTGGCTTTTAATGGTAGCAATGATTTCAAAACTTGCCTGCTGTTGAGTTTTAGATGAATTGTTTTACCCAGCCCCTGCCATGCCTCCAACTGCATCTTGAGCTACTCTCCATTTGCTGAGGGCATTTGTTCAGGACACTCCAGCTCCACCAGCCTTTTCCAGCTGCTCCAGCACTATGCTGACCTCCTTCCAACTCATCCAACACATCAAACTACTTCCTGCCTCAGAGCCTCCCTCTGCTTAGACATCTTTTTCTCCATTTCTTGTTTGACCAACTTGTTTCTATTCAACTTTCAGATTCCTGTTTTAAGGCTGGTTTTAAGAGCAGCCTTCTGCGATCCTCCCGGGTCAAGTTAGGTTCTCCTATTTTATGCTTATATAAGATTCTATATTTCACCTTCAGAGCACTTGTTAATTTGTACCATTATGGGTTCAATATTGTCTCCATAATTAGACTTTATGCTGCAGAAGGGCAGCAACCACGTCTGTATTCTTTACAGTTTTATCTCTGGTATCCAGCATAATGCCTGGCCGATAAATACTTAGGAAATAAACAAAAACTTTAGTAGATGTAATTTGTAAAACTATAATTATATATTCACTGTACAAAGTTAGAAAATAAAGGGGAGAAGAAGGGGAGGGGAGAATAAGGGGAGGGAAAATTAGGAAATACAGAAAGTATGGATTTTTAAAAATCTTTAATTTTAAACTCAGCAATAACTACTATTAACATTTTGGTGAATTTTCTTCAAGTAATTTTTCCCTTCTGAATGTCCTGCCTGTTACTATTCTAGTCTGTCCTATCCAATCCTTTTTTATATATTTATCTACAAACCTTTAATCAAACTGGAATCATAGTATGTAATTAGTTTTGATGAGATTTTTCCATTGAGCATTATATAATCAACATGAACTGCTCTACTTGTAAACATTTTTCTTTCCTTTCAGTGCGAGTACAGACATGAAGAAAGGAATATGATTCCAATCTCCCACTTAGTTACACATCCTGAGATTAAAATTCAGTTTTCATAATGAATTGGGATCAATCTGCTGGTAACACAGAGGTTAAGTTACCAGATAGGGCTTGAGTCGAAAAAAAATCATATTACTTTCTTCATCTCTAAAAACTGACCTTTAATAAATGATGAGGGTTTTAGGAAAAAATGTAAATTAAAGAACACAAGGGGGTTGTTTACATTTTTCTAAAGAATATTCAAAGTCCTCAGGGAACTATTTCTCTACTGCTCCTTCATCTGTAGAGTTCATTATAACTGTAATAAGTTTAAGCATTTCTTGGAATGTTTTAAATTCTGTTATAATATTAAAAAGTTCATATGTATTTGACGTCACATCATAGATGTTGAGCCTCAGAATGCTCACTTGGAATTGTAATTAAAAGATGGCTTATCCACATTTAAGTTTCATGGAGTGTCATACAAGCATTTGCAATTAAACAGAGATACCATTTTGGTGTAAGAGAAGACATATAAGTGTAACCTTAAGAAAAAAACCCTTTTAATACTATTTTGTCCAAATCTGGGAAAGTGACATAGAAATATAAAACAGATTGCAAGTGGCATTTTGGATCCTTAATCTGTTTTCACAAAACAGTCATCATTTATAAAAGAGAAAAGAAAATCTATAGCCAGAGAAATCAGACACTGATGAAGGCTTCTGTTAATCTTGAACTCATGACCTAAAGGTGGAAGGCCAAATTGTTTCATGCTTCAACTGTCTGGTCCATCCACACTGGGGAAAAATGACTTGTCTCCAATATGAATCCAATAAAAAGTATGTGGAGAACTAAAATCACTTTGCTTGCTTATTAAATTCATATTTTTCACTGGCAGCAATTATACTGTATGTGAGCAGTATACACACAATAAAATTCAAGTTTGGGAAACTAAACTTCCCTTTTGAAAGAGGATAAACCACATTCAGAACATCTTAGAAACAATGAACTTAATAACCCTTTGTAAGCCCATTTCAATGTCAAATGTCCTATAATTTCAAAGCAGTGCACGTTCATATTTACTTTAGAATACACAGGGTTAGGTGCCTACCACATTAAAACTTGGTGGCAAGTACCCTTGACATGAGAGGAAACAAGAAAATTACAGCAACAATTACAGAAGTATATCCTCTTGTGGCTCATGTTAACGTTGCCAAATCCCTGTATAAATCAGAACCAACTATTCATAGAATGTACCTGTCAGCAATATGCTACGTGACATATGGCTCTACTTAATCAAATATACAATTCCATTTAAAAAAACTCAGAATATTCCTTCAAGGCACTATGTTAGCCAGTCAGTCATTCACACTCTGATGTGGTTTAAAACATTTAAATATTTATGCACCATATTTTATTTATATGTATAGCTGTGTCTAAGAGAGTATTTTTACCCTGGGAGGAAACTGGTATTTCTGAAGGCCATTTGCAGTAGTTGCTACACATGAGTCCCCTTATAATGGCTCTGATACCAAGACAAAAATATCCTGGGTTTAAATGTTCTATCAATGATTCTTTTATATTTTCTAGGTTTGTTTTTTATTAAATGCATTGTTAAAAATATGACCAAAAAACAGAAACTGGATCCATAGAGGTTTTTTTCACATGGCTATTTGAACCAGCTGCAAAGATTTAGATCACACTAGCTCTTATTTTACGCATGTCCTTTGCAACAAGAAAACCATGGAATGCCCTTAAAAAAGATTTTTAAAATATAAAACAGATGTGTTATCTTCTTTCCCTTTGCTATTGTAGTGCCATGTTAGGTAATTAATTCCCTGGTCTTGTATAGGTCTTCATGCATATAAAGAAAACCATTTATTCCCATACAAATTCTTAAGTTAAAGAACAAAAGCTTCTCTTCCCTTTAACTGCTCCATCCCAAAAGGAGGTCAGTGGGGGATGAAGGACCGTTTCTCTTGGGGAGCCAGCTTCACACAAATGTGTGTAACATATACAAAATGTGGGGAAAAGTCTCAGCTTAAATAGCAACACAAACTTGATGGAAATACGATATAACACTAAAATCAGTAAGGGAAACAGAAGTGATTTGTTCTTAAATTGCTGAACTTATTATCATCCAAATATTCTGTGAAGTTACTTTGGTGCTAGCAGACATGGACAGGTTTCCCATTTTAAATATGCCACTTATCATAGACTTATACTTCATCCCTTTTTTTGGTTTGGTTTATTTCTGATAAGAAATAAAAGTTAAATAATTATTAAAATAATCAAGGCTCTCTAACTGATTTAAAAAATCCATTATCCAGTACTTTTTAGTGAATCAAAAAGTCAGAATGAGAGTAGAGGAAAAAACTAAGACTGTATTGTAATCACATATTTCATCTCACTGCTTTTTGTTTGTTTGTTGGTTTGAAAAGATGGAATGCTTATCATCAGAAAGGGTCACATAGGTTCTTTATTTCTGCAATGGACACTTAGACAATTTGATACATAGCTAAGTTGAAGCTTTGGCAAACTAAAGCCACAATACTTGGAAAAAATTTCTGGGAATATGTTACTTTCCACACAGATGTGGTACATTAGTCACAAAAATGTGGGCATGATCTCCAATGCATGTGTAGAGAACCCATATTCTCCAGTGTTTCAAAAATAACATGTATCACTTTGCCAAAACAGAGAAGGCCTCAAGTACAATGGTGCCCATCAAATTCTTCATTCTCTCACATTTTTGTTTGTGTTTAACTTATTATCAGAAGTGATAGCATACAGAACCTAATAAAATATCATATGTGACTAAACTGTAAACTGTTATGGAATGTGCATACCTGTTGCCAAGCTTGTATTGCAGTGTTTAGAGAATGGACTACATGCTGTCCAACGTTTACAAATATAGAATCAACTATCACAGTGCAGTCAAGCAGCTTTTCTACTACATCGCTGGAAACTGCCATCTGCCCGAAGATGCTGAAGGGTTTCACCACACTTTGCATAGTGACATTTCTGCACTCTAGAAGTTTACAGTCTGCTTGAGCTGAGAACTGGATCTCCTGACAGACAGAACCATTATTCCACTGTCGAAGATACATGTGTGGTTCTCTGAAGGAAACAATCATGTATTCTAGTTCAGATGGCATATTTCTATCAGAAACAAATGGCTGTAGGTACTGTGGTGCAGCTGTTGAGAAAACAAACAAGAAAGACAGCAATTAAGATGAGCCAATACTTTGTGAAAATAAAGGGTGAAATGACATTCAAACTATTCACTTTTTGATTATTGAAATTAGTTTTTGGTGTTTAATAAATTCAAATTATTTCTTGAAGATATTATAATCTTTGGATTCCCATTTGATATCTGAAAACAAAACTGTTTTGTTCAAGTAGGCCTCTTAAATATATATTGTCCAAAAGTTACTTTCACAAAAAATTGATCACAGACGCAAATAAATAAACTGAAAAGCAGGTATCCATCTAAAGAGAATTTTATAGAACTGCTCTGTATCTACCAATTGAATCTCAAAAACCAAAACAAAAATATGACTCAAAGAGAGTTAGAGAAAGCAGGTTAAACTCCATTTTTGCTGAAACGGCAAGATGCTTAACAGCAGCTGTTTTTGGTTTTTTTTTTTTTTGAGACGGAGTCTTGCTCTGTCGCCCAGGCTGGAGTGCAGTGGTGTGATCTTGGCTCATTGCAACCTCTGCCTCCCGGGTTCAAGTGATTCACCTGCTTCAGCCTCCCTAGTAGCTGAGATTACAGGCACGTGCCACCATGCCTGGCTCATTTTTTTGTATTTTTAGTAGAGAAATGATCTCGATCTCCTGACGTCGTGATCCACCTGCCTCGGCCTCCCAAAGTGTTGGGATTACAGGCGTGAGTCACCATGCCCGGCCAGCTATGTTTGGTTTTAATCTGATTTTCTCCTCCTCCCTTTATTACATGTAGGTTAAAAACCTAATACATGAATCAACATGTATCACCTAGAAAAGGTTTGGTACAGAACATAAAGATTGAGAAATAATTGTTCAAATAACATTAGTAAACTTATAAAAGGCCACTTTTGGTGTGTGGGAAAATTTAAACTTCCTTCTAAACTTGTAAAAATGATACCCCTTTAAATTAATTTGAGACTGTGCCTATCTTTTGTGGAAGATGCTCATGCTTTTGAAATCAGGCAATACCAAGTATTTTTGGAATCTATTTGCTACTAATGTAATGACTCAGGATGCTGAACAAGAACAGACATATTTCTTTCAAAGAGATCTGATATGGTTTGGTTGTGTCCCCACACAAATCTCATCTTGAATTCCCACATGTTGTGAGAAGGACCCGGTGGGAGACAACTGAATCAGTGGGGGAGGTCTTTCCTGCACTGTTCTCCTGATAGTGAATAAGTCTCACAAGATCTGATGGTTATATAAAAACTAGAGCTTCCCTGCACAAGCTCTCTTTGCCTGCTGCCATCCATGTAAGACGTGACCTGCTCTCCTTGCCTTCCACCCTGATTGTGAGGTCTCCTCAGCCATGTGGAACTGTAAATCCATTAAATCTCTTTTTCTTCGAAGTCTCACGTATGTCTTTATCAGCAGCGTGAAAAATGAACTAATACAAGATCATAATTGGAATTATAGTAAAACTAACTTCCTTGAAAAATTCTCATTAGGTAGCATTCAAAAACATGTCAGCTTAATACCATTGACAATTTATATAATAGGTTCATAAGCTGGTTCAGAAGTAAAGGTTATGCCTGTGTTGCCAAGTCAACCCCAGGATAACTTTGCCACTGCTCGCTTTATACTTCCTGAAGATATGCTATCTAAGACTGATGACTTCTGTTCTGAAAACACTCAAGACAAAATGGTAAGTATTAAATGGATGTTATTCTGATGCTAAAGAAAAGAGTACCTGTGCCTAGTTGGTCAAGGTGATGACAAAGATGAAATTCCAGGTGAGCAAACTGGAAGGAAACGCAAAGGGATGGGACAAACCATGGGGTAAAGCAGGAGTCAACTCTGGTACAGGCAGCCAGGGCTGTTGGAGTCACAAGTGGATCACAAGTGCTTTGAGAACCAGACTCACTTGCAGAGCTATGGGAAAGAAGTGATAAAAGAAGTTCAATAACCAAAATTGCCCAATATTACATGAGTGAAATGTCTTTTTATAAGGATTTCTAAAACTAGTACTGAAAATTCTATAGTCAATATTTTATCAAATCTTCAGTATTTTCTCAAGTAAATTAGTTTTTTTTAAAAACTAAGTTCGTTTTTGGCCAGGTGCAGTGGCTCATGCTTGTTATCCTTGTACTTTGGGAGGCCGAGGTAGCAGGATCACTTCAGCTCAGGAGTTCGAGACCAGCCTGGGTAACACAGTGAGACCTCATCTCTACAGAAAATTAGCTGGATGTGGTGGTATGCACTTGCAGTCCCAGCTACTGGGTGGCTGAGGTGGGAGAATTGCTTAAGCACAGCAGGTCAAGGCTGTCATGCACTACATTCCAGGCTGGAATCATGTTGATTATTCTCTATGAATTCTTCACAGAAAACTTTCAAAGGATTCCTCAAATGCCAACTCATGCTGATCTATCTCCAAATCAATTTGCTTCCATCCACATCTCACAAAACTTATGGGCCATTCGTTCTGTTATTAAGATCAGTGCAGTTCAGAGTGTGACTCTGCCACTCAAAAACACAATACTTCAGTGTCACCATAAATATTTCGTTTTTTTTTTTTTTTTTTTTGTGAGACGGAATCTCGCTTTGTCGCCCAGGCTGGAGTGCAGTGGCGCGATCTAGGCTCACTGCAAGCTCTGCCTCCCGGATTCACGCCATTCTCCTGCCTCAGCATCCCGAGTAGCTGGGACTAAAGGCACCCGCCACCACTCCCAGCTAATTTTTTGTATTTTTAGTAGAGACGGGGTTTCACCGTATTAGTCAGGATGGTCTTGGTCTCCTGACCTCGTGATCCGCTCGCCTTGGCCTCCCAAAGTGCTAGGATTACAGGCGTGAGCCACTGCACCTGGCCAAATATTTCACTTTTGTTTTACTTCTCCAGATTGTCCATACCCATATTCCCATAGGGATCAGTCAATATTCTTCATTAAGCACTCACTCCCTACTGTAATGGGTGCCATAAAAGTTATGACCTTGTCCAGAAGAATTAGGGTTCCATGGACAATTACAATGCATGGGTCCTCTCTTGCCCATCCTCTTAACATTATTTTATACAAGTTAAATCTTTATTTTTTTTTTGAGACGGAGTCTCGTTTTGTTGTCCAGGCCAGGCTGGAGTGCAGTGGCACAATCTTGGCTCACTGCAACCTCTGCCTCCCAGGTTCAAGTGATTCTCCTGCCTCAGCCTCCTGAGTAGCTGGGATTGCAGGCGCCTGCCACCACGCCCAGCTAAGTTTTGTATTTTTAGTAGAGATGGGGTTTCACCATGTTGATCAGGCTGGTCTTGAACTCCTGACCCCAAGTGATCCACCCACCTTGGCCTCCCAAAGTGCTGGGGTTACAGGCGTGAGCCACAACTCCCAGCTTATATGAGTTAAATCTGATTAAAACGAGTTAAATCTGATTAAAATGAATAGTGAAGGTATCCATAGAAGGGAAGATGTCTGCACATGGTGGCTGCTGCTGTGCACAGGAAGCATGCTGCCTAGATTGCATTAATACTAACAGGAGCACAAAACCTGGGAATTTGGGAGTGTTGGAGGAGAACAACAATCCTGTTAATTGTGGATCACCGAATTGATGTTGTCCTGTTAATTGTAGATCACTGAATCGATGTTGCCTTTTCCCCACTACTCACTATCTTTCACTCCCTTCTTTTCATGCTGAAATATGCTCTGTAGCTATCACAGCCTGGCTCCCAAATCCATGAGGAGCCTAAAGACAAGCAATGTGATTTACAGTGTCCTAGGAAGAACTGTGACAGGAAACACTAAAGAAAGAAATCCTTGATTTTCAAAGAACTCACAGTCTAACTGGTGATACTCAGTACGTAGACATTTACAAAAATTACCAAACAGAACCAACCCCCAGGAATAGGCAAGTGGGAAGTGCTGCCAGAGTGGAAACACAAGAGGAACTTAATGGCATGGGTGAATCATGTGGGATTTTCAGAGGTGTGAATCTTCCATTGGGTTTTGAAAGAGGTTGTGAAACAGGCTGGTGAAAATGAAAGCTAGGAGCATTGCGACATGTTTACTGAGTTGTTTAACCTCGAAGAGTTTAGTTATGTGGTGTAAGCATTTACTGCAATGCTAGTAAATCTCCATTGCAGACAAAGAAAACAGACTTTGGAGCACTAGGTTATTGACTATGCACAAAAATGCAGCTAAGTATATTCTTAAAACATCTATAATGGGCACAGTAATCCAAGTAACTTTCTAGGAATTTGTAGAGTTAACAAAAGATTTCATTGGCAAGATAAAATTAAAACTTGTATTTATTCAGAAAGAGGAAAATATATTAGTTGTATATGTGTTTTACGCATTTGAACTCTTTCCCTTATACTACTCACGTAAGTTTTTAGAAATAGGGCACAATGTTAGTCAAAATATTACTAAAAATCCAGGCAAGAGTTCTATGGGACCAGTTTTTAAAAATGGGTACACAGTTTGAGGGGTTTATCTGAAGCATTTTCCTGGCCAATTACAGTTTTTGACACTCTTGATTTATTTTTCTATCTCCTGAGAGTGGCAAATATTATAATATATTGCAAAAGTTTGCTAAAACATCATGAGTATCTAATACAATCTTTACTTATAACAAATTGGTTGATTCTTCACTTTTCCTAAATTAAATGCACAAAGCAATGGTAAGACATATTTTTAGGTATATACAGTAGCTCCTGAATCATAAAATCATACTCCAGTAAGCATTAGTGCTAGTAGTACTACTCTAGTCAGCAATACTCCTTCAATCTTGAAATCCTGACTAAAATGGTTACTAGGTTAATCTGTATGCAAAAATTAAAACTTTTACTTAAAAACTGGAGTCAACAAAATCACACACTTCTTAAACACAAAATGTGGTATATGTAATTTGAGTATACTTTAACTCTATTTTACATTAGCACATTTATAGTTTTTGATATTCTTAACTTAAATCACCATTATATACTATAAAAGTAGCATTTATGTGTTTACCTTTCACCTAAGGATTAAAATGATCTAAGTACAATACGACTAAATAGTCATAAATATGAGTGATGACTCTGCTAGAGACTTGCAGTAGCTACATTTGTATAATTTCCCTAATTAGGTACAACAGTGAACTTTAATCTGATTCAGATCTCAAAAGGTCAAACATCAGATGTATAATAAGCAGAAAAACAAAAGTAAAAAAATCTCACAACTTATAGTATTTGTATTTCAATACTTCCGCTTTTCCCAAAAGACTTTCAAAACAGGTCAAATTCATGGCCAATGGCAGTGTTCACAGAATTATCTGGTGCTCTTCACTTTTAACATGCTGGAAAATAGCTCCTGGAAGCAAGATCTCTCAAATAGTAATACACACAATTCACGATTCAGTAATTTATTCAGAGGGTTATTTAAGTGTTATTTTAGAACAGTGGAAGCATTCTAGACAGTGAGAAGGATGGCATGTGTTTTACTTATACCTTCATTTTAGCCAAAGAATTACTTACCAACTGTCCTGAGTGACCTATAGAGGGGATCAATTATTTAAACAAGGAGTGTCCAGTACATCTAGATGTAGACTGATCCTATCTTAATGGCACTGTGGGGACCCAGGCACAATCCCTAAAGATCCAGCCCTGAATGTCACTTCTGTAAGGATCCCTTTATGGTAATAAAGATTTTATAATGTAGTATAATATAGCATAGAGATGAAGACATGACTTGCTCCTCCTTGCTTTCCACCATGATTGTGAGATTAAGCAGAGAATGACCAAGGTAGGAGAACCCAGAATGAAATGTATACACTGCTATAATTTATATTGTAGTATTAGGCAAGTTATTTCACTTGGCTAAATCTCAGTATTTTTCATTTATAAAATGAGTACAGAAATTAGACCTACCTTTTTCAAATATTACATGAGTTACTGCATATAAACTACTTAGCATGATATCTACCATTCGATTAAAAAAATGATGAAAAAAAATCCATTCTTCTTTTTCTTGTTGGCAAGACAAGGTACCATACTGGCTACATAGGTTAATGTTAATTGATTCTCTTTAGCTTCCTAAGAGGGATCTCACAACAGCATATTGGCATTCATCTCAATGGGGCACTGTCTCTCAACGTTGGTTCACATAAATTCTCCCCTACACACTGCAGGAACACTGCTCTGTCCATCCCTGGAGAGTGCTGAATGGGTGAGAGAGGATGCAGGAGGACGTGTGTGCCTGTTGCACTGTGTTTCTTCCACTCCTTACAATGGTTGTTTTTCAAATGTCTTAACCCTAACTCAAAATAACAAGCACACTTTTATTGTAATCCAGTATACACATATAAAACAGGGGAAAAGGTTTTCTGAAAATACGACACACACTATTTTTTATTGTGATAATATATTAACATATATAGCATAACATTTATCATTTTAACCATTTTAAAGTGTACAGTTCAGTGACATTAAGTACATTCACATTGTTGTGCAACCATCACCACTATGCATCTCTAGAACTTTTTGATTTTCCCAAGCTGAAACTCCATGTCCATTAAACCCTTACTCCCCATCCTTCCCTCCCCACAGCCCCTGGCAGCCACCACTATACTCTTTATGAATTTGACAACTCTTAGGATCTCATATAAGTAGAATCATATAATATTTGTCTTTTTCAAACTATTTTCTATTTTATTTTATTTAAAAAATTCCAGTTGTAACCAGCTATTTCACAATCCATGAATGTGCTCCAATTTGTAGTTTGAAAAATAACCTTAAATGAGCCTTCAGGTAAAACACTCCTTTAAATCTAACTTAAAAAAAAAAAAAAAGGAAGAGTAATCTCCCAAGGTTCATAGAGTAGACAACACGACATAGAGAGCTCATAAGTACCATCATCCAAGAACTCTGAGACCTGAGCAGCACCTGAGTACTTTGGGGACTGTGTATGCAA